ATCCCCAAAAACTACAGTTAAAAACATAAGTAAAAACAAATATTGGTAATTTGGTCAAGTTAATTTAAAAATTGCTTTAAAACCCCCATTAAAATTTTCCCCTAGGCCAGTCCTGCAAGTTGGAATAACCATGTCTTAAGGGCGCGGCGGAAGGAAGGGAGATCAGGGATCACCCTGATCTCTGGGGGTAGCTCATTCCTTGCTAGGCGACTGGTGGTACTTGGATGTTGCCATATCCTAAAAGTGGTACAATGGGTTAAAAGGTTGAAAAGCACTGCACTAGACAACCCCATGACCTGTCGGACAACCTTTGAGAGAAAGGTAGTAAGAGTTGGATGTGACCAGAATGAACATTAAATTTTAGGCTGACCATATTGTTTTACACCAATGCTGGATGGTCCCATGATCATCTAAGAAGAGTATATATCATAAATAGAAAAATAATTGTAGTGGCAAATGAACTTCAATAATAAGTCAATATTTATTTATCTAAACAGATAAACAGAATGACCATGGGTGGGCAAAAAAGCAGCAGGAGCGACTTTCCAACTATCTGCCCACTTTCCCATTGACTTTGCTTGTGGGAAGCTAGCGGGAAGTGTAGGAAATCACAATCATGTGACTGTGGGGACGCTTTAATGGCCACAACTTTGCAAATAAAACTGTTTTGAACATTGTAAAAATTTCAATTCCACAGGAGTAATAGGTCCTGGATTTTTTATGCATATAAGCTACCAAATTTTAGGTACCTTGATTCAAAAGTTGTTGCAGTATAATGCACTGTTTGAGCTAACTTGAGGGTACAAGCAGATAAACACAATGAGAAATTTAGTTGTATATAGATTACATAAATGAACAAACATTACTTACGGATCAATTGATATTTTGATATATGTCATATTCTTATCTCTTTGCTTATTGTCAGCTGCATTTACTAGAAATAAATAAGCATTCATTAGTGGCAATAACTTCTATTAAACATTTTAAAAAATTCAAATAGGTTAAATGCTGTACTTTTCTATTTTGGTAGATACAACAAATCTGAGCAACTGTGCAAGTTGAAGCTCCAGGCCACAGAGCTCAATTCAACTTTCCTATAGTATGATTTAGGATAGTTCTAGGATAGATTTACTCTGCCAGAAATAGATGTCAATGTTCTACCTTTATATTTTGTAATTCATTTTCTACCCTTTCTATATAAAAACGTACACTAAAAGGCACCTTGTATGTTATGTCTATGCCCGTCTTCAAAGATGAAAAAAGCCAACAAGAAAGTTCTTAAGTCATCTACTGTTCAGATAAAATATTTTATTCTTTCAGGTTTCCTATACTTTTAACTTCTATCAGCTGAGACATTTCAACATCTATTTTTTCCTTTTATTGTATAATACAGAAAAAATGTTGGATTTCTAAGTAAGATGCATTAGAAGTAAAGAAACCTGCTAGCAACAGTACATAGCAATGTAGTAATTCTGTCAATGAAACTGCAGCCTTGTGCAATGCCACTGTTACAGGAAAAAATCATAGTGAAGTAGGATAAAGAGAAAATGTACAGCTAGGAAACTATAAATTTCTGTGACTTAGTGAAAAACTAAAACTATTTTAGCAGAACACTATTAATCTGCCAACATTCATAGGGCCATTTATTTCTACAGTAGATGTTAACAGACATATCAATGTACTATCTTCTTGATTTGCAATACTTAGGAAAATTTGTTATAGCTGATTTTCAGGATATTGTAAATATAAGAATGTTAATTTGACTGTGAATCATGCTGTCCCCAGTGATTCAAATCAACCTGCTGAATATCTTTAAAAAGCATATGCTGATATTTGACATGAGATTGTAATGAGGAAATATGAAATAAGGATGTAAAACAAAGTTATGGTATGTTAATAGCAATCTTGATTAAGTTACTATTGAGCTAAATGACCACTGCAAAATTATCACTGATTGGTATAGCTTCTCACTTTTTACCCATGAGGATTTTTCATAGAAACTTTTCAAAAAATTCTTCTAGGTCACAGATAAATAACCTGGATGTGGGAAAATGTGTATACATTAGGAGTATTTTTTTTTATTTACAAGACTAAATTCTACATGCTATAATCCTTTAAATACACAAAAGTCCTCAGCACTGGGTACTTTTACCATTCCAAACAAAATTCTCGGACTACATTATAATAATTAACTTTTGACTACTGTAGTTAACTGCATTAACTACAACTGAGGGACTGTGAAATGGGTGTAGCACTCTTTGTTCTCCATCCCCTTTCACCATGAACAATATATTGATATTATATTTTGCACAACATTCTAAGGGAATTAAATTCACTTACAGTGATTTCAGTCCAAGCATCACATTTGAAATTTTACAAATGTTGCATTAGGTAAGAATTATTTCACTAGTTAGTGAGATATAATTGTAAACTACATTTTAATAATATTAGAGAGGAATAAATTCACAAATAATTCTGACAGAAAAGAACAGATGATGCCTTGGGGTCTTTTCATCTCTTTAACATGTTAATACGTTTACCATCAGCAACATTGTATCCACAAAATGGCAAAATATACCTGTATTCTTCCACTTCAAAATAATTTCCAAATGCTGTTAATATATTATTGTTATAAACACTTACCAAGAATTTCATCAAATATTTTATATAAGCCCGGAACAAAAGTAACCTCTCTACAATTCATTCCTATGTCTTCATCAAACACCCACATCAACTGTAAATAAAAAGTTTATTTTATGAATAAAAGTTTTATAGATACATTATTTTAAAATATCTTAATAGACATACCTAGGGTTTTTTTTTAAAAAAACTGCTCATTATATTTTTGTCATTTAATCAATCAATTTATCTTACCATTCACTCATCGGATGACTCTGCGCTGCTAACAAATGTGAAAAAATAGGAAAAAATGCAAACTGCCATTTGAGAACACCCAAGTACAAGCATGATTTCATATATTCAAACAATATTAACTCCTCAAATAAAGAGGAAATGGAAATTACCTGAGTTAAAGGTTCTACTGAACCAATGTATGTATCAGGACGGATAAGGATATGCTCAAGTTGAGTCTTTTTTTGATAAACTCTCTCAACAGACATCTTTTTTGAGTCATTTTTTTGTCTGTGTTCAGGTTCTTTTTTTGAAGCATTGTTTTGAATATCAAACAGTGTCTGAAATAAATCAAGAAAAAATAATGTAAGTCCTAGTTTTGACTTACTCAGAAGCTTTGGAAAATACATTATTGGTATTGCAATAATTATAATCTAGAAATTAATCTACTCCCTCACAATTTATATTTGTCGTTTTTATCTTTCTCAGCCAATGGGCATCTTTGAAATTTGGAGGGGCAAGCAGATATTGTTGAAAAATAACTATCATGAGGAAAGTCTTGTACATTTAGGAAATAACTGCTAAGGTGAATGTGAAGACAGCTATGCTACTCCTTTCCACCTTTTTTAGCACTTGAAGAAGCTCTCTACCATGCCAGTTTACTCTTGTATAGCTTGGGAAACAGGCTTGCATATTTCTAAACAAAATATCGGACTGCACCTATTAATTTTCTTAGATGACATTGGGCCTACATGGGCTTACAGGTTCAATGGATATAAAAAGGCTAAACACCCCTGTTAAAATGCAAGGTTTTTGTGATGTAAAAAAAATCAGACCAAGACAAATCACTTCAGAATTCTTTCCACCTTTAATATAACATATAAGCTGTACAATTACATTGAAAAACAAACTGAAACCTTTTAGGGGGAAAATAACAATAAAAAATGTACAATAATGTGGTTGCATAAGCATGCACACCCTCTTATAATTAGGGATGTGGCTGTATTCAGAATTAATCATACTACTACTACTACTACTACTACTACTACTACTACTACTAATAATAATAATAATAATAATAATAATAATAATAATAATAATAATAATAATAATAATAATAATGTTGGAAGGGACCTTGGAGGTCCAACCCCCTGCTCAGGCAGGAAACCCTATACCAGGGGTAGGCAACTCATGGCTGGCTCAGGAATTCTGGGAGTTGAAGTCCACAAGTCATAAAAGAGCCAAGGTTGCCTACCCCTGCCCTATACCATTACAGACAAATGGCTGTCCAATCTCTTCTTAAAAACTTCCAGTGTTGGAGCATTCACAGCTTCTGGAGGCAGGTTGTTCCACTGGTTAATTGTTCTAACTGTCAGGAAGTTTCTCCTTAGTTCTAGGTTGCTTCTCTCCTTGATTAGTTTCCATCCGTTGCTTCTTGTCCTGCCTTCAGGCGCTTTGGAGAATAGCTTGACTCCCTCTTCTTTGGGGCAGCCCCTGAGATATTGGAAGACTGCTATCCTGTCCCCCCTCGTCCTTCTCTTCGTTAAACTAGACATACCCAATTCCAGCAACCGTTCCTGATATGTTTTAGCCTCCAGTCCCCTAATCATCTTTGTTGCTCTTCTCTGTACTCTTTCTAGAGTCTCAACATCTTTTTTACATCGTGGTGACCAAACTGGATGCAGTATTCCAAGTGTGGCCTTACCAAGGCATTGTAAAGTGGTATTAACACTTCACGTGATCTTGATTCTATCCCTCTGTTAATGCAGCCTAGCACTGTGTTGTCTTTTTTGGCAGCTGCAGCACACTGCTGGCTCATATTTAAGTGATTGTCCACTAGGACTCCAAGATCCCTCTCACAGTTACTACTATTGAGCAAGGTACCCCCTATACTATACCTGTACATTTGGTTTTTCTTGCCTAAAGGTAGAACCTTACTTTTTTCACCATTGAATTTCATTTTGTTAGATAGCGCCCAATGTTCAAGTCTGTCTGATGTTAAATGCTACTCAGTACACACCTGCCATCAATTAAAGAGACTCTGATCAAGCCCATATAAACTTCAGCTGTTCTAGTAGGATTTTTCTGACATTTACTCAGTTGCCTCTTACAGCAAAACCCATGGTCTGCAAAGAGCTTACAAAGCATCAAAGGCAGGGGTCTTCAAACTTGGCCCTTTTATGACTTGTGGACTTCAACTCCCAGAATTCCTCAGCCAGCATGCCTGGCTGAGGAATTCTGGGAGTTGAAGTCCACAAGTCATAAAAGGGCCAAGTTTGAAGACCCCTGATCAAAGGGATCACATTGCTGGAAGATATCAGTCAGGCGAAGGTTAAAAATTTTTTCCAAGGCATTGGAAATATCATGGAACACAGTGAAGACAGTCATCAATAAGTGGAGAAAATACGGCAAAACAGTGACATTACCAAGCACTGAATGTCCCTACAAAATTGATGAAAAAACAAGAAGAAAACTGGTTCTAGAGCAGGGGTGTCAAACTCGCAACATCACATGACGTGTCGCGATGTATCGCGACTTTTTTCCCATTGCCAGCAATGGGGTGGGCGCGGTTTCGGCATGACGCATCTGGCCCGCGGGCCGGCAGTTTGACACCCCTGTTCTAGAGGCTGCCAAGAGGCCTACAGCAGCATTAAAGGAGCCTCAGGAATTTCTGGCGTGTACTGGCTGTGTACTACATGTGACAACAATCTCCCGTATTCTTCATATGTCTGGGCTGTGGGGTAGGGTGGCAAGATGGAAGCCTTTTCTTACAGAGAAAAACATCCAAGCCTGGCTACATTTTGCAAGAATCTACATCAAGTCTGACAAAAGCGTGTGGGAAAATGTGTTATGGTCTGATGAGAGCAAGGTTCAACTTTTTGGCCATAATTCCAAAAAGTATGTTTGGTGCAAAAACAACACTACGCATCACCAAAAGTACACCATACCCCACAGTGAAGTATGGTGGTGGCAGCATTATGCTTAGGGGCTGCTTTTCTTCAGCTGGAACTTGGACTTTAGTCAAGGTGGAGGGAATTGTGAACAGTTCCAAATATCAATTTTGGCACAAAACATTCAGGCCTCTGGTAAAATGCTGAAGAAGAAGAGGGATTTCACCTTTCAACATGACAATGACCCAAAGCATACCTCCAAATTAACAAAAGAATGACTTCACTAGAAGAAGATCAAAATTTTGGAATGGCCCAGCCAGAGCCGGGACCTGAATCCAATTGAAAATCTGTAGGGTGACCTGAAGAAGGCTGTGCACAGGAGATGCCCTCGCAATCTCATAGATTTGGAGCACTTTTGCAAGGAAGAGTGAGCAAAGATTCTCAAGGCAAGATGTGCCATGCTGAAGGAAATAAAGTTATTCTTTTATAAAATGTAACAATAAAGCTCCAATGTAACAATGTATGAGACTGTATGTTTAGCACAAATGTATTAATGTAATGTAAATGTAACAATGCAATGCCAATGTATGAGAAGGAATGTTTACTGTTTCCTGCCTATGTAAAGTGACCACAAATGGTAATCAGCAAAGATAATGAACTATGACCCGTATGGACGGAAATTGAAAGGAAATTGTCAGGATGAACTATTAAGTGTAAAAACAACTTCAAAGAATGACTATGGAGTTGAAAGAGCTTCTTAGATGTGACGTGCATTGTAAAAAGTATAAAATGCAAAGCTTGAAACCTGCTCTTTGCGCTCTTGGAACCCAATCCATTTTGGGAAGGGTCCAGGAGGTCGCGTTTGCAAACGCCTTTGTTTTCTTTTCTTTTCTTCTTATTATTTTTATGTTTTTCTCCAATAAAACTTTGTTTTGTTAACCAGACTTGTCTTCGTATTGTGAGTATCAAAATTTGGGGTTTTTACATCTCACAATCTTGGTGGAGAATGCGGGCATTAAGAGCCTCTAGGGGACACTGTTCTCAGTAAAATCCAGGGGCACGCCTGTTGATTTCAACTGCCTGGAGTTATCTGAGATCTAGTTTCCCCTTGCAGGCTCTGAGCCAAATTAAATTGACAACTCTGGTCTACAAAAATCAAAGAATAGGAAAGAGGAAGAAAGTCAACAACTGAAGCCTAGGACCAGGTAACCAAGTGCACTGGCCCAGGTAAGAAACTTTTGCCCGAAGGAGGGAAACACGCAATTGTACCTGGGTGGTCAGGAGAGTGATTGTGGGAGGTTTTCTGCGATAACGGCTGTGTGAGTGTGATGGGCTGTGTTCTGGGAACACTGGTAAGTCCAGAGCGAGTGCGGACCTGAAAGGTTGAGGTCCCTTACTCCCGCAAGGGGGAAGGCCAGCCTGAAGGGAAGCGTACTGGTGTTAAGCGTTTTGAGTGGCCGTCAAATCGAGAACCTCAGGGAACCATAATCAGGGAAACTCTCAAGAAGATGGGCTGTTGTTGTAGTCGTTGTTGTAAACCTAAAGAAAAAAAGAATAACTGTAAAATTGAGTAGCTTCAAACAGGAAAACCCATCTTGCTAGCAGCAGACGCCTTGTGTCTGTGGATGGGTTTCCCAGGCCCTGCCCATGTGGAGCCAGGGTAGAAAAGGAAGTTTTAAGTTTGAGCTCAAGGTCTGCTTGGGAAAGAAGGGGAATGAGAGAAATGTGTGTATGTCTCTGTGTGTGAGTGAGAAGACCCTTTTCCCAATCACAGTTTTCTGTTATCTTTTCCTTGTCTTGGTATGTATATGTGTGTCAGAGTCTTTGTGTGTGAGGTAAATATGACTGTTACTAACCTCAAGAGAAAAGAAGATACCAAAGGAAACACCCTCACTCTGTCTGGCCAACAAACAAAGTGAAGAAAGATGTGTTTGTTTGTTTGTTTGTTTGTTTCTCTCTCTCTCCCTCTCTCTCTCTCTCCTCTTAAGAACAGCCCAAAGTTAGCAGGAACAATAAAGTTGGAAGGGACCTTGGAGGTCGTCTGGTCCAACCCCCTGCTCAGGCAGGAAATCCTATACCATTTTCTTGCCTATTAGTTCTGCTCTCTCCCTTTTGCAAATGTTATTCAGAAGTGTGTTAATGCCTTTTCAAACTCTGTCTGCAGGCACAAACCTCCCTTCCCCCTGCTTTTTCTGGCTGTGTTGCTTTGAGAGCGAGAGAGAGAAAAATGAGAAGGGGGGGTTGATCTTTTTAACTTTTTCCTCTGCTTAGAATTCCGGTTTGAGAAAGGTTTGATTTGATTTGATTTTGATTTTATTAAATTTATACCCCGCCCTTCTCCCGGAGGACTCAGGGCGGCTTACAGCCAGTTTAAAACAATGATATAATACAATACAAAATTTAAAAAGATTAAAAATAACTATTTAAATTTGGCCGCTTCTACTAAAAAT